TCTAGTTAACACTGATTTTCATTCTAGCCTTTACTTTACCTTCAGGCCACTCTTCCTACTTTCCCCCAGCGCCTTCCCTCTTTCTGCCACTCCATGGTGGTCTTCACTTCTCTCTTCTACAAGTTCTCCTTCCTTTTCTCTATCCATCCATGTGCACTGATGACCTTTAAAATTTGGATGTAAATTTGCCTCTTCCAAACTGTCACCACCTTCAACCCTCAAAGATCACTTCCTTTGCCTACTAATATTTTGACCACTGTCCCAGTGATTAATTCTCACTTCTTCTCACTACCTTGCCTACCTGCCACGCTTCACCACTTCCTCAGAGCTGAATTAATCACAGCTTTCTGCAGTCCTGCCTTAGTTCCCATCAGTGTTCCACATCCAAACCTGACTCAGGTAGTTCTATGAGCTGCTCCAGCTTCATGAGCTCTCATATTTTACCAGCCCATCCTCCATCTACAGTGAGGTTAATGAAAGTAGCCAAGTCCTAACTTTGATCTCCGAGACTGTCCGGTTTGCCCTGCCCACTGTATCGCAAGCGAGGCTACTGCAGCCCTGAACAGAGCTGTGGTGTCCCATCCCTGAGCCCTTGTACCCCACTCTAATGCTAGGTTGAGTTGACCACAATCTCGGTTCCAGATCTGATAACCCAGTTATAATCTGGACCTTGTGAGTCCCAGTTTCTCTATTTGCTCCATCTTTTAGATCTGACATTTGCTGTGAGTTTCATTCTGAGCTCTGACTCTAATAAGCAGTCTATTTGCCACAATTTTTTTATGAAATGTGGGACCTGCCTTAATCTTTTTGTGCGCATCCCTAAAAACTAGTCCCACTGCTGGGTAAACCTCAGCTCCAAAAGCTAGGGCCTTGATATTCTCGAAAATAAGGCCCACATAGCTGATTCCCCATCCTCATGCTCTGTAAACATCCTAACATTTGTCTCATGCTTGAACAGAACTTGCAGAATCAGCAAGGATGATGAGGCATGTCTCCACCCTGAGAGTTGCTAAATTCTGTTATTTAAAGCCTGAATTCCAGGAATCTCTGTTTTCTTGGGCTGGTCTCATTCCAGGTGGCAGCACCACCCTGGCCATGCTTCCAGTGAATATCCACACCTCCCTGATGAATCTTGATATACGTCACCACAGTCTCTAAAGCTGCCAGGGTTGTATGGTCTTTACAATGAATTCAAGCTCTGGGTTGTCTTTTACCTTTTCTGCCCATCTTTGGCTCAGGGTGGCATACACTAGACACTAATAAATGACCATCGACAAGAAATGAATAGAGATCCTGAAAGCCACACACCCTAATCGTAACTTGAATTTGTAAAAGGTCACTGAAAGCACACATGTCTCATCAGAAAAGTGGGAATACTAGTACTTAATTGTTGTAGGTGTTACAAGGATTAGCTTTGAACAGTGTGGTACACCCATTGGAAGGGTCATGAACATTTCTACAATGTCAGTAATACTATGGTAATCAAATCTATGTCAGAGGTTGCCTAAGGGTAGCACCATTTCCTGCAATCCAACAATGATTAAAGCTATTCTTTTCTTCTTTTTTTCAAATATACTTTATTTTTTAAAGTAGTTTTAGATTCACATCAAAATTGAGGAAAAGGTACCAAGAGGAAAAATATGTTTTCATGCCCCTTCCCACATGTATAGCTTCCCCCATCATCAACATTTCCCATCAGAGTAGTATTTTTTTCACAATTGATTAACCTACATTTTCTTCTTTTCATTCAGTTTTCAAATGCCAGTCATGAGAGTCAGTTTACTAATTGAAGTCTTTTATGAAATAGTTTTTCAGGATGATGAGAATAAGGAGGGACATAACTGTCTTTAAAAATCGTAAAATTTGACACAAATGGGTGTGACCTGGAGTTCTAGCTACTTGGGATGCTGAGGTGGGAGGATTGCTTGAGCCCAGGAGTTCAGGTCCAGCCTGGGCAACACAGTGAGGTCCTGGGTATAAAAAAAATGTAACATTTCTATAAACTCATCATCACTCACGTGGAAAGGCTTGAGTTAGATATGTTTCATAATTCAAAGTTCTAAAAATGTAATAAAATATGGTACATATATTGCATATTACACAGCACATGTGTTAGTAGCCTGCAACACACATTAACATTTTTGTAATTGAATATATAAATAACCATGCTAATGCCAAATTTATTTAAGACCCAAAATATCGTTGTTTGTTTAGATTAATTTTTACTGCCAAATAAATTTATGCCAAACATAGAAATTAATTTTCAGTTTGCAAAGCCTTTCTATTTTTAGAATTGTGCATTAGGGATTTTAGATCCATATTCTGAAGAAAAAAATAGTTTTATTTTAGGTATCTCCATATAGGAGGACCAGGGTATAAGTCAGCAAAAGAAGGAAAATTTTGGCTCCATAGGAGAAAGAACTTTCAAACAGCAAAGATTATCCCAAAATGGAATAACAACCCCTACGTAAGTCATGAATTCCTAATCACTGTGCTCAAACACAGGTGAATTATACAATTCCCTTTTATTCTGTAGAAGTTGAAATATATTTATCATTTATATTTATCATTATGGTTCTTTCTTTAGTTCCAACATACAAAAAGCTAAAACAGAACATTCTCTTTGATTGAACACAAATATTAACACTTTAAACAAATTTGAAAGTTAAAATCAAAAGTCAAGCTTTCAATAAATAGAGTGTAGGCAGAGGTCTTGCCTGTCTTGGTTGCTGCTAATTTGATATCCAGGCTTCAGACATGCCTGTGATGCATTAGGCACTCAGTAAAAAGTTGGGAATAAATTAAAGGAAGACTGTGCTTTGTCAATATAACCACATTTAAAATTTATAAGTAGACTTTACATTTGGAATTAGGAAATTCAATGATATGAATCAAAACATGTTTGACCTAGGCTTTGAGACAACACAGCCAATTCACTTCCTTATTGGATGGCTGAAAAACAGCCCCCTTCCCTTGTCAGCGTACACTGCAAAGAATGGCCAGCTATCAAAGAGTTTTCTCAACCTCATGTCAGCCAACAAGACTTTCAGATTTCTTTTTGGTTATAAATCCCGCTCAGAACAAAGATCCTTTATCGGCAACTCTGACAAAGTAATGAGAGGTATCCACGCTCTCTGCCCGTTCTAACAATCCAGGTGTCCTCTGCTTTTTATGCTAAGGTTTAGATTGAGACATTCAAAGAATTGTTCATAATACATGGTGAAGAAATATTCTTTGCAAAATAAAGAAAAATCTGACTTTCACGTGGTATATTTAGCTGTAGAATAAAATGTTGTCTTATTTTTCTGTTACTATTTCTTTTAATTTTAAATTTTAAAATATTCCTCCAAATTTTGTGACTGAGTCTTGTAACTGCTTGGCCAGTTAGAGATTGTGAGGGTGAGACTCCAGTGACAAGAGTAATCTTCCACTCTTTATGGCATTGATGTAATGTGTAGTTGCCATCAATATTAATGGAGTTTCACTTCCACTGTGGTTCTAGTTCTAAATGAAATGTTTCTGCAAAAACATTTCATTTAGAACTAGAATATTTAAAATTTTAAATATTTTAGTGATATTTTAAATATGCAATTATATATTATTTAATAATGATATTCTGATTTTTAAATGAATCAAAAAGTAATTCAAAAGTCATTTTTAATATTATTGACACCTTTAACCCATGTTGGTCCCTATGCCCTATGGCTATACACTGGTTGTTTGCTTTGCTTCAACATGACTAAGTCTTTATGTTTTTGTTTTTCACTTTTTAAATTGTGGTAAAATACACAAAACACAAAGCTCATCATCTTAATCATTTTAAGTATACAGTTCAAAGAATTAAATACATTCACAATATTCTACAACCATCACTGTCATCCATTTCCAGATCTCTTTTTATTGTCCCAAACTGAAATTCCATATTCATTAAACAATAACTCCCCATTTCTCCTTTCTCCCAGCCCTGGGCAACCAATATTCTACTTTCTGTCTCTATAATTTTGACTATTCTAGGTATGTTATATAAGTGAAATCACAGTATTTGTCTTCTTTGTGATGACTTACTTCACTTAGCACAATGTCCTCAAGCTTCATCCATGTTGTAGCAAATCATCATACTTTAATTAGAACAATTTTTTCCCAGTTTTTCAATTCCTTGACAGCTTTCCACGTTCTTTGTGTTCTACAGCTTGAGGCTGTGTTACTTCAGTTGATCCAGTAAAATTTACAGGCTGAAGGTAATGAATACATTCATAAGAGAAATTTTAAAGATTAACTTAAAAAATATTCAGAATCCAAAAATACCATATACAAAGAGAACAGGAGTGTTTTGTTTTGTTTATTATGGAACTTTCTGCACTACAGAAATACCTGGCACACTTTTGAAACTCCATATTCTCATTTGTTGAGTGAATAAATCAATACAAGAGTTGATCCTTTTACAATTTAGGACAAACTAGATTTTTTGATTAAAATAAAAAATATTTTCAATATTTTGTTGCTCCTTTGCCATTACTGCCTAGAAAATTGACTCTAATAGTTTTTAATGAATGTGAATTGCTTGAGCAGCCAACCAAAGAGACTTCCATATACCAAACCAGGAACTGAAAAGGTGAAGTGTCCCTAAGGTCATGGGTACCTAAGAGATGGTGCCAACAAGTGGAGAGAGGCATTCATGCTTGAATAGAAAGTATGCAATGGTAAATTGCTATCTCAGAGCTTTTCTTATGGGGTTGGTCCGAAAATAAAACGTGAGTTCCTGAATGATGGGGCCAAAGAGGCGAGACAGAAGAATAATGTAAGATTTTCAGAGTGGGTAGTCACAGTAACCCTCAGAGGTAAGTATTGGTTTTCTTGCATCTTTCTGCAATTAACATTTAATTCCCTCCTCTAAGGTGGATCCTGTTTTCGTGAATAATTAGTATTTAGTTTAATCCTCGCTTGTGCCGATGCATCATAGTTGATTTCTGCCAGTTGTTTTAATTGTTTCATGGTTGCAGATATAAAGGGCAATGAACAAATTGAAAAATATTCTTGGAGAGAAGCTTGTGATATTGGCAGCTCAAGAATGGACAGAAAACATGGAACATACGTATTGAATGTTGAGCACTCTGTAAACCAGCTGGTGAGTGTTGTTGCTCTGTTTTGATAGTTTTGCCTATATTACAGTTTCATTTTCAGCATTTAAAAGCAGCTTAATCTCTTCTCTGCAGTGTAGCCAAGATCATAATTTTGCATTCTTCTCCAAAAATAAAGAGCAACCCTATATCAATTTTTGTGCTGTGACTTTTATGTCTTTTTTTTTTTTACTATGTTATGTATTCAGGTATTAATTTAAATATATATAGATATAAAGTATTAGAAATGTTTCTATGGCCATATGGCTATAGGATATACAAACAGATCCATTTAACTTTCTTTTTTCTTTTTCTTTCTTTTTTTTTTTTTTGAGACAGAGTTTCACTCTTGTTACCCAGGCTGGAGTACAATGGCGCGATCTCGGCTCACTGCAACCTCCGCCTCCTGGGTTCAGGCAATTCTCCTGCCTCAGCCTCCTGAGTAGCTGGGATTACAGGCACGCGCCACCGTGCCCAGCTAATTTTTTGTATTTTTTAGTAGAGCCGGGGTTTCACCATGTTGACCAGGATGGTCTTGATCTCTTGACCTCATGATCCACCCACCTCTGCCTCCCAGAGTGCTGGGATTACAGGCGTGAGCCACCACACCCGGCCCAGATCCATTTAACTTTCTATATTCACTCTCATGTAAACATAAACTTCAATGATGTCAGTATTTATTTATTAAGTTCTAGTTTTACAATTTGATGCTTAGAATTTTTAGACTTGTCAGAACTCAGATTTCTAGATATGCTTTAAAACCAGGTATTAATCATAGATATTAATATTCCTAAGAAGCAAATCCTCCAAAAATACATGCTTTGTCTGCTCTAAAAAAAATTTTTATGCCGAGAACCAAGCCTTCAGCATGTAGTTATCGTAATCATGTATCTGTATGTTATGCAAATTTTATGTATCTATTTATATCCAACCAAATAATCTTTGACATCAGAAAAAAGGAAGGACAGGTATTGGAAATTAAAATGCTGAGTTAAAATTCACTGCCTGAAGATGAATGAAACGCGTGTGAAGAAATAGTTTGCTTTTGACATACGGAGCTGTGATAATCAGCCTGTATAACTCACGTATAAGATAAACCCAAGAAGAAAGTCCTGTTTCTCAGTAAGTATTAATACAGGAATCTTATAGAGGATTTCTGATTCACCAAAAGAACAAGATCTTCAGTCCAAGGTTGGTGTTTGGAAGTTTGCTTGGTCAGTTGCTCAGGTAACCCTGTAACTGAATCTTCAAGATGTCCAAATATTCAGATGGAAAATAAATTCTCTTTGGCCAGGTATTTATCATCTTGATAGTTTCTCTAGATAATAACAAATGTAGAGAGGTTTACAAATATTAGCTTAAGTTTTTTTTTTTTTTTTTACAGCATATGTCTGGATAGCTGACTAAATATTTTACTTTATTATTCAGGCATAAGTATAACAGTATTTTTCTCTTCAGGCCAAATTCAATAATGGAATTTAAAAAGTACTTAAAGATCATAAACATATGGAAAATAAATTTTGGTGTCCTTGTTTTTCTGTTAGGGATACAAGAAATCTCAAGTTAATCCTTATAAAGTTAGGGGATAAAATTTATAGAGTGTCTTTTTGTAAATATAACTAATACATTTCAGGTACCTGTGGCCAATATTAGCTAATGCAGATTATGCTAATGATGATTAAATATTATTTACAGCTCTCCGACTCTTCCAGTTTTGAATAGAGACTTCACCTGTACTAAGAGTTAGAGCAACCTGACACAGTAAAATCATTACTTAGGCTGCAATATTATTCTCAAACTGGGCCTAGATTACAGGTTCCCCACCCTTCCTGTAGACCCACCCATTACCTTCCCTCTCTGAAAGGGCTGGGATTCTAACAGCCAGAAAAATCTGGGAAACTGGCCTGCTGAGTGAGTTTCACTTTGTTTGCAAAGGGAATTAAAAGTTCAGGTTTACTAGCCACAAGCAAATTGAATGTAACAAAAACAAAAGGATCAGCACCTAGTTAAATAAGCAAGAATATTATCAAAAGATAAATTCAACTTCAAATTTGCCTAATGAATAGTAGGTAGAATTTTTTTATTCATATTTGATAAACATGGGACGGTTATCTATTTCTTTGGTATTATACTTAACAGAAAAATTTAACTTAGCTAATTGTCTACTGCCAGGAGTATCCCATCTTATCTATATTTAATGTTATAGAAATTTAGTTCCATTAATTCACTTACATTTCTCTCTAAATTGTCTATTCTCATTAGGATTTCGTCAAACCTTTTATCAAGGTTCTTAGTTTCTTTACATTGGGCTAGCACATGTTCTTTTAACTCACATAAGTTTCTTATTATCCACTTTTGGAAGCCTAATTCTGTTAATGGAACACACTCGTTTACCATCAGGCCTTGTTCCTCTGTTGATGAGGAACTGTGATCCCCTGTAGAGGGAGAAGCATTCTGATTTTGGGTATTCTCAGCCTTTTAAGGCTGGTTTCTTCCCTTCATTGTAAATTTATCCACCTGCCATCTTTGTAATTACCGACTTTCAAATTAGGTCTCTGAGTGGATGTCTAACTTGTTAATTCCCAGTGCCAGAATCTGAGCAACCCACTGGCTAAAACAGCGGCGTTAAGATTCATGGTGCTTTTCTGCCTGGGAATCTCTGGTCTGGCTTCTCTCTTGAATTCCTTTTTCAATCAGCTGAATGGGTGACTCTGCCTTCCTGGAGCTCCAAACGTTGACCAAAAGAGGACCCAGTCCCATTTACTCTGCACTGAGAACTGCCTCACCGAGGCGCTGGCAAAACTGCCACGCTGGCCACAAGAGTCACGCTGGTGACCCGTGGGGCTCCTCCGCTGGGAATCTCCTGGTTCGTGAGCAACAAAAATTTGTCTTAAAGTGTGGCATCCTCTCGTTCTCTACGCTTTCACTGAGAGCTACAATTCCGAGCTGCTAGTAATTGCCCATCTTGAATCTCTCTCAGATGATCCATTAATTCTTGAATCTACTGCTCTCTCATTTTCACTTTATCTTATTCTTCCCTTCTTTTATCTTTTAACACATCCCTTTCCTAAAATCTTTTCCCACCAACTCAGTCATTTTCAATCCTTATTCATCTCTTCCTCTGAATGAGAATTTATAATTATTGCATTAATGTGTTAATTATACAGTAATCTGTTTTGCCTCCCCATGGGAAAATAGACTCCGTGAGAATAGAGACTAACATTGTTGTGGACTGTTTTTACACTACTCTATGTCCAAGAGGAATCCAGCAAAAACATATTGCAAACTCGACAAATGGTTTGTTTTCTGTGTCACTGTCATAGGCTTGCAAGTTCCATTGGATAGAGCATGGAATGAATTATGTAAAGCAGTCATTTTGTATAAGAATTTTTCACTAGTATCATGTAGTATAGTCTATACTACATTACTATATTAGCATAACATGGTATAGCATAACAATGTGTACTTTACACTGTACTATTCCTAGTATATATAGTATAATATAGTATAGTGGAAAGTACATGGGCCTTAAAACTGGAAGGTCCGAGCTCCAGTGCTCGCTGTTGTGTCATGATGGCAAATCATATGAACTCTTTTTACTTCAATATTTTCATTTCCAAAATGACCTGAACAGGTTGTACTCAATAATATGCAAGGAGTTCAGCTTACCATCCTCTTCCTTACGGAGGCTTCTTAATACATGCTCCACATATGGCAGCTTGCAACGTGAAGATATTCAATCCATTGATGTAATATTATGAAGAAGAGGATACACATTCCTAAACTAGAAGTTAGGTAACTTACAAAAATTAGTTAAAGTATAAGGTATATAATCTGCCTAGATTTTTTATCTTCAGAGGATAAGAAAACATTTATTCCTTTTAAAAGTTATACTCGTATGTTTGATAGAATAGTTTTATTTTACCAATATAATGCCATGGCTTCCTAGATTTCCTAATCACTTCCACTCTGCCTTTGTAGCCAATCCCACGTCCAAATGACCAAGAGGCTCACAGTTCCATACGCTGGTGTCCACCTTCAAATGACATAACCAGTGATGTCTCTCCCAACTTAGCTGGGGTCTGTGTGAGCCCAGGAGTCCCTGCACATTCAAGATGTCTACAGTCAGAGTCCTGTAACACACAGGTAATATTTAGCATAGGCACTTTTATTCAAGGTGGGACGTGCTCTATATGGGGAGATAGTTTGCCTATTCTTTCCCAAAAAATGTATTTAATTACTTAATTCATTTACATTTGTATTAAGCTTTTACTGTATTTTCAGCATAGGTACAAGTCACTGTGAGACAATTCACAAGAAAATAAATATTTGCTAGTCTCTGTTTTCCAAGAGCTAATGTTCTAATTGGGGACTCAAATATTCACAATAGATAGAGAACATATATGAAAATCAAAGGAATAAGTGTAAGGTACAAATGCAAGTTTAGGGATGGACAGACAAATAAGAATGTTGACAGTGTTAGGGTTTAATTCACCATTAGGCTCTGACGGGAGACTGTGTCATATTTAAAGTTTCATGGGTCCTATTCTACTGGCAATCACCTTATTTTCTTACTCTGTGCAGCCTCTGAATCTGTATGTAGCACTTTCTTTAGCTCCCTGGGTTCTGGCCTCTGGTGTATGTGATCTTGACACAGAAACCTTACTGTTCTCTGGAGTGTCTCCGCTAGCTTTGGAGAATGGACTCAGCTCTCCTTGGCTCCTGACCTCATGTCCTGTAGACTGAATGATGAACTTTACCTCATGACTGTATCTTGAAGCCTTCAGCCCTTGTATAGAAATTTAACATTGACTATAAATTACTGATATGGCTTGGTGGTTTAGTTGGGTTCCCCAAACTCTGGAATTCCTTCCTTCCGCTGCTTAGTCTTGCTATAGAGACTCAGTAGAGAGCCTCTGAGCCTTGTTTCTTGATTCTGGACAAAACAATATGAATTTTATACTGTTTCTGGGACAATGTGAAAGAATAAATCAGCTCAGCAGGATGGAGTTAGAAAATGTTCTCAGAAGTTAAGTGATTCATATAAATCATGGAATTGAAGGAGGTTTTCAATAGCATTGAGTCTGCTGGCTCTTTTTTTTATTTTTATTTTTTGTTTTTTGAGTCAGGGTCTCACTGTGTCACCTAGGCTGAGTGCAGTATGTCTCGCTGAAGCTTCAACCTTCCGGGCTTAATCAATCCCCCCATCTCAGCCTCCCAAGTAACTAGGCCCACATGCATGTGCCACTATGCCTGACTCATTTTTGTATTTTTTTGTAGAGGCAAGGTCTTGCCATGTAATCCAGGCTGGTCTCGACCTCCTGGGCTCAAGGGATCCACATGCCTCAGCCTCCCAAAATGCTAGGATTCAAGCGTGAACCACTGTGTCTGGCCCCTGGTGGTTCTTAAACATGACTACACATTAGAATCACCTGGGGACTAGGTGGCGGGGTGGGGGGTAAGAGTTGGGGGTGGGGGGAGAAAACAGTAGTTTTTAAAAACTACCCAGATGAATCTAATGTACAACTAGTGATGAGAATGACTGATCTAGTCCCATTAAATTATTTAACAATTAGGGAAAATATGGCTCAGGAAAGTTTAGAGAGTTGCTAGAACTCACACGGTTTTTGCCAGAAGGGGCCAAAGCAGGAGGAGAACTTATTTTCTTTTGTCTGATCATGTGCATTTTATTTCATTAAAGGGCTCTTTTAATTACTGTGTAATGCAGTATGATAGACTCCTCTCCCAGACGTACATAAGCCTTTTTGCCACTTTCTTTTCTTGAACCTCCTTTTCAGTGCCTCCCATCAAGGAAAAACGATGCTATTTATCCTCGGGCTAACTTGATCTTAGTGGCCCTCATTTCCCTGGCCTCAGTGACCATTGTCCTCATTCTTTCACTGCTGTCTTGGTGTCATCAGGCTTTTCATGAAACCCTAGTCTTCCAACAACTACCATGGCCCATATTTCATAATAGTTCAGACCTAGGATCTTGCTTTCAGCCAAGTAACAATGAAATAATCTACTGGACTCCAAAGCCCTTGTTTCTAAATCCTATATTATACTGCATCCAAAATAAAAATAATATTTTTGAAAACTAGTGACCTTATATATGTTATTTTTAATCTTCTCAACAACAACATGAGATGGATAATTTTTATCCTGTATTTCAAAATAAGAGACTTCAGGTTCAGAGAAGGTAATGATGTTGTTTAAGATTTCGTACCTCTGAAATTAAACATATCTCTCTATTTAAAAAAGACTGGACTCTTCTATTATACCACATTGCCTGTCTAAGAATAGTAACAACAAATATTTACAAAATACTTTCAGTATTAATAAACCAATTCAATTCTTGTAATTTTAAGACAATCCTATAAGTCACAAGCCATTTTTATCACTAATTCATAAATTAAATGAACTCAGAAAAGCTAAGAAATTTTCTGAGGTAGCATGTAGATTTCAACATAGGGTCTCTAATCTAACATTTTGTGTTTATTCTTTAAAACTGTGCTGGTAAATAATCTCTTTACTCTTTGTTAACGATAGTGAGAAAATGGGCTTTGGTTTACCTTGTAAAAATGCACATCAATGGAAATTTGATGTGCAAATTAGGGAGTTGTACAATGAAAAACTTGGGAGTTTTTTATTGTACAATTTCAGATATTAGGCCTGGTATGGAGATAATGCACTCAGGTGGATTCTCTGAGTCTCTCTCACTATACTTCATTCCAGGTAGCCACCTACATGCTGAATGATTGGAAGTTATAAAGGGTTGTTATCAGGAGTCGATTCATAGCCTGGCAATCAATATTACTTCAATAATTGGGGATGCTCTAAGAAAAATTAGTGCATCATTCTTCTCATAGTGCCTGATTTCTCTCCCAGTCACTGACCAGTGCTCAGGAACTGGTGCCAAAATAGGTGCCTGTGGAAACAGTGCTGTACTGAAGGTGAACCATGCTATGTTCTGGATGGAGGATGGAGGATGGAGGTTGGAAAGGCTTTCTTGATTGACAGACAAATTTTTGCCAAGGTCCTATTTTAGAAGTAAGCATGGTGCCTTTGAAGAAACAGGGGACTAGTAGGGTCTGAGGCTATTGCAGTAGCCCAAGGCAGAGATAAAGGAAGCCTGGGCTAGACAGGTATCAGCAGAGATGGAGAAAAAGTCAATAATAATGGGAGATATTTAGTAACTAAAGTTAACAGGACTTGGTACTGAATTGGGAGATTTCTAGGATGATCTCTTTGTTCCAGTTTATGGAATTGAATGGAATGGATGGTGGTGGATTTAGTGAGATGTGGGAGTTAACCAGGTTTCACTGAGAAGAACATGACTTTGGGTTTGGACACATTGAATTTGAGGCATCTTTGAGATCTAAAATATGGTACCATGTATGCATTTGAAAGTTAGAGGGATTGGCTGAACTAGGGATAAACATAGTCATTTGGATATGATTGGTAACTAAAATCACGGATATAATGAGAAATCCTGGGGAGAAAGCATAAAGTGACCAAATCTAAGCCCCAACTATTTTTGGAGATAAAATTTCATTGAAGTGCAGCCATGCTCACTTGTTTATTCAGTGTCCGTGACTGCATTTCCACTGCAATGACAGAACTGGAATAGCTGTAACAAAAACTATACAGCTCTGGTCTCTCAGCCCTGCTTAATCACACAGGTCATGTGTGTGCTTGATGTGTTTTCAGTGAGGCAGAGGAAGACTCTCCTATTGCATGACAGACCCAACCCCAGAATGACCTCTCTGTTCCTAGGGAGCATCAGCTTTTGGGGAGACAGAAAAAAAAACTGTATGGCTCACAAAGCTGAAAATATTTACTATCTGACCCTTTATAGAAAAATTTCACTAACTTCAGACCTACAGTGAAAAGAGACAAGGTACCTGGGTATGTCAACAGTAAAGGCTGAAAATGAGCAGTGAGCTTTCAAAAGAAACTGAGAAGAGGCTTCCAGGGAGCTAGGGTGAAACCAGTGAGAATGGAACAACACAGAAGCAAAAGAGACACGGAGGAATGGGCTCCAATGACAAATGCTCCTGGAGGCTTAAGTAAAATGAAGTCTAAAATACGACAATGAACTTCTAATGAATGAATATCACTGGTGACTTTTTCAGTGGCATGAAGGAAGCTGAAGCCAGATAGCATTGGCTTAAAAGATATGCAAATAGAGACATTGCATCTAGGCAACTTTCTAGACATGTCGTTTTCCAGGGAAGAGAGGAAAATGCAATAGCAAGAGGGTCATTGGAATCAAAGGATGTTTTTTGTTTGAAATGGGAGAGATCTGAGTGGGTTTAAATGTTAAAAGGAAGAGCCGTTTAAGAGGAAAGTGGTGAAGTATACATTCAGAGAGGAAGGACAATCAAAAGAGAAATGTTGCTGGGAAGGGGAGAGGAGATGGGATCCAAAAGACAGATTGGGGGATCAGCTTCAGTCAGTTGGAGGTATAACTTCTCTTGTGTCAATCGGGAAAGGAGAGGTGGAGTGCAGACCTCTGCTGCAGTGTTGAGGTCTGCAGGTTTGGTAGCTAATGGGGGTCTGAAAGAGTTACTGTTAGATATTTTTGAGTTTTTCAATGAAGTGGGAAGGTGTGGTCATTTGATGAGAATGAGAAGGGACAACTAGTGTGCAAGGGTTGGTGCATAGACATTTCGGATTTGAAGAGACAGTAGAAGGTTGAGAAAGTACTTTGAAATGAGAGAAGAGAATTTTAGTCAGGGAAATACAGTAGAATGATAGAGCAGAACAGAAAATTCATTTGAGGATGATGAACATATGTTTACATTGGTTCTAATCTGCTCAAGGGCTTTACATTCCCCAACAGTGTGGCAGCTCTAGGGAGGGTACAGAGAAAGCAAATAGTCATTTACTTGCCACCTAGATAGAATGAGAAGAGGAAGTTCAAGAGATTCTAGGGAATTAGCAAGAATGTTATTGAAATAATGGACCACCCAACAAAAGGTGGATAAGGAGGAATCCAAGTGAAATAAGGGCTGCCAAACCAAAGGTTTCAGTAAGACTAAAGAAAGGCCATGCTGGTATCAGGGAACAAACAAGCTGGAAGGAGCGAGCATGGTGGTTAGAGGACAGATTTCTTGAGGAAATGGAGCAGTGTGAGGTAATGATAATGTCCCTTGGATAATCAGGTGCATGAAAGAGAATTTACAGTTTAAAAGTACTGTTCTGCTCACATGAAAAAAAAAAGGTAGGAGTGAGAGAGGAAAGAATAAGTGGAACACAGATGAGTTTTAGGGCAGTGAGACTACTCTGCATGATACTATAATGGTAAATATATGCCATTATATAGTTGTGCAAACCCATAGAGTGCACATCACCAAGAGTGAACCCTGAAGTAAACTATGGACTCTAATAATGACATATCATTGTAGATTAATTAATTGCAACAAATATTCTACTCTGATGGGAGAAGTTGACAACTGGTGAGGCTGTACATGTGTGAGGGCAGGAGGGATGTAGGAAATCTCTGTATCTCCTGCTTCATTTTGCTGTCAACCTAAAACTGCTCTACAAAAATTAAGTCCGTTGAAAAGAGACAGATGGAAAATAGAATAAGAGAAGATAAAATTTTACAGATTTGTCTTCTAATGTAAGGGAAAACAGACAATTATTTTCACTTGCATAAAAACATGGAGTTCAAGCCCAACTTTCAGAGACACATAGTAACTTAAATGATGTTAATACAATACGTTATAAGTAATATAAAGGAGATGATAAATTACTAGCATTTTTGTTTTTCTTTGCTGATATTTTTATATACATGCTTAGGTAAAAGAACATTGCCACAGTGACTGGTCTACGTGGAAAGTCTTCCTGGCTTGTCTCTTAGCTTGCGTGATAACGACAGCAATCGGGGTACTCATAATATGCTTGCTGAATAACAAAGGAAGTGCCAATTCCTCCATTGTTATCCAGCTGTCCACAAACAATGGAGAATGTGTGACTGTCAAATCGGGAGCACCCTCTACTGCTTGTCCACCTACAATAAACACCACTTCAAGTGTACCTACTGAAACTACGACCTCAACATCCTAACTGCCACCAATTCCACAAGATCTGCAACTACAGCTTCCTCTTAATATGTAACTTAGCCACAGCCACCACTTCAACTGAAACTTCAACCTCTACCACTTCAACTCAGCTTGCAGCTGTAACAGCTGCTCCTATCCCTTCAAGTGCAACCACGGCTGCTGTCCCTGTAACAGGCTCTTTAACTGTTACCCTTTCAACAAATCAAGTCCTACTTCAACTTCAACTTACTTGACAATTCAAACAATCACCGCTTCTACCATCTCTTTGACTGAATCAACGACTACATTCTCTTCAATTGAATCCACAACCACTACTGCTTCCACTTAACCTATAACTACTGTAACTTCTGCTTAGCCTGCAGTAACAATGCTCATCACTCTTTTCCAACAATGTATAATCTCCACCTATTCATTTTGGGACTAAGCTCTGATTTTTTTATCTTGCCCAAATTCCTTTCTAATTGGTCTGGAGGATCATGCCCTACAAACCATAAATTCCCATCAGATGGGTTTTATTTAACCCTGTATATTGTGACTTACTTTCCAGTTTGACTCTGGCATAACAAGGGAAAAAATAAAAATGTTTTACCTCAAGATATATATTCTTGCCATACCTTGAAATTGCCCTGCTAAGTCTCTCTTGGGAAAAACTGCACATTCAATAGAGAATACCCTTCCCCCTTTGTTTTCCTTCCTTTCTTTCCACATCCAGGAGATAATCAACAAAAAGTCAGGCAGTCTTTTAGGTCTGTTAAGAAATATTTTGCAACCTGCTCTCTCTCTGAAGTCTGAGATCTGAGAGATTGCTCTGCACAGTAAAACTTAGTCACAACAATCCTTTATCTTAAGCTGAACATTCCTTTCCATTGATCTCAGGTCTTCAGATAAACTCAACCAACTGTCAGCCAGGACATATTTAAATTTACCTATAGGTTGGAAACTCCCACTTTGAGTTGTCCCACCTTTCTGAACCAAACCAATGTATTTCTTAAATGATGTCTCATGCCTCCCTAAAAATATATAAAACCAAGCTGTACCCCAGCCACCTTGGGCACAAGTTCTCAGAACCTCCTGAGGGCTATGTTATGGGCCATGGTCACTCATGTTTGGCTCAGAATAAATCTCTTAAAATATTTTACAAAGTTTACTCTTTATGTCAACACATCTGAACCTGCAACCACAAATGCTACCGTTACCACTTAAAATGTGATAGAACTACCATCAGTCATCAGAATGACCTGTTCTACATTAAGTTAACTTTTAGTTATCACTTTAGTAATGTTAGTCTGCAACTACTCCCCACACTGGCCCTTCCCCAAAATTGAAATTGTACAATATATGAGTCTATTTCTGGCTGACATGACATTATTACCTACATTAAAATCTTCTGCAATGCAAAGGGAATGAAATGAAAAGTCAGCCTGCAGAATAGGAGAAAATATTTGTAAACTATATATCTATATATTTGTAAACTATAAGTGGTTAATATCTAAAATATATTAGGAACTCACATAACTCAATAGCAGAAAAACACACCTGATTTAAAAATGGGCAAAAGATTGAAATATACATTTTTCCAAAGAGGACATACAAATGGCCAACAGGTATATAAAAATGTGGTAAACAGCACTAACCATCAGGGAAATGCAAGTCAAAACCACAGTGAGATACCACCTCACAGCTGTTAGTTTGACTATTACCAAAAAGTAAAGAGATGGCTGGGTACAGTGGCTCACACCTGTAATCCCAGCACTTTGGGAGGCTGAGGTGAGCAGATCATGAAGTTAAGTGATTGAGACCATCTGGGCAACATGGTGAAACCCTGTGTCTACTAAAAATACAAAAATTAGCTGGGCATGGTGGTGCGTGCCTGTAATTTCAGCTATTGGGAGGCTGAGAGGCAAGAGAATCGCTTGAACCAGGGAGTTGGAGGTTGCAGCGAGCTGAGATCACACCATTGAACTTCAGCCTGGTGGCAGAGTGAGACTCTGTCTCAACAACAACAACAGCAAAAAGTAAAGAGATAAGTGTTATTAAGGTTGTGGAGAATGGGACCCTGGTACACTATTGGTGAGAATATGAATGATACAGCCATTATGGACAGTAGTATGGAGGTTCCTCAAAAAATTAAAAATGCAACTACCATATGATCCAACAATCCCACTTCTGGGCATGAAATCAGTGTTTTGAAGAGATACCTGCATTTCCATGTTCACTTCAGTATTATTCACAGTAGTCAAGATATGAAACAAATCTAAGCTTCCATCAATGAATGAATGGATAAAGAACATGTAATATATATAATATTTGTCTATATTCACTTTTTAAAAGGCTGAATAGTATTCCATTGTGTGTGTACATGTATATATACAAACACAATTTATCATATATATGATACATATATACTATGTATGTATGCCCAGGGGAATATTATTCAGCCTTTAAAAAGAAGGAAAATTTGACATCTGCAACAACATGAATTAACTTGGAGTGTATTATGCTAAGTAACATAGACCAGGGACAGAAAAACAAATATTGCATCGAGTTATTATTAAAACTCTCAGCAAAATGGGCATACAAGGGACATATTTCAATATAATAAAAGCCATCTATGACAAACTCATAGTCAATGTAATAATGAGGAAAAGTTGAAAGCATTCCCTCTGACAACTGGAACAAGACAAAGATGCGCACTCTTACCAGAAGTCCTAGCCAGAGCAATCAGACAAGAGAAAGAAATAAAGAGCATCCAAATCAGAAAAAAAAAGGTCAAACTGTCCCTGTTTGCTGATGATATGATCGTTTACCTAGAAAACCCTAAAAACTCCTCCAGAAAGCTCCTAGAACTGATAAAAGAATTCAGCAAAGTTTCCGATACAAAGTAAATGTACACAAATCAGTAGCTCTTCTATACCAACAGTGACCAAGCGGAGAATCAAATCAAGACCTCAACTCCTTTTACAATAGCTGCAAAAAATTAAAATACTTAGGAATATAGCTAATCAAGGAGGCGAAAGAACTCTGCAAGGAAAACTACAAAACACCGCTTTTTTTTTTTCTTAAAATAATTTCTTTCTCTCAGCCTTAAGGATGAGTTCCTTCTCCTTCCTCTTGACCTTTCAAACCATTCTCCCTACATCAGCTAGAGGGAGCTTTCAAAATTACAAATTATATTTTGCCACTTGCGTGCTTAAATGAATCCTGTGGTTTCAAATAGCTTTCAAAATGAGACCCAGTTTGCTCCACGTGGTATGCCTCCTCCTTCCTTTTCAACTGTCCTTGCTCTTAAGGAGCTCCCAAAAGATTCATCAGTCTCTTCACAGGCTGCCAGCTCTTCCTGGAACACTCCCTTGCTCTTTATGAAGTCTTTAAAAGTCAACTTAGCTGCTGAATCCTTCAGAAAGCCTTCCCTGTTATCTCCAATGGGGTTAGGTGGTTTGGCACCCTCTTGTGAATGTCCACAGAGGTAATACATGCCACACCACAGTGAAATCACCTGCCTGAGCTCACTGGCTTTTAGCTCTGAATCCACAACACTCAGCATACGACTTTACCTGGCACAAAGCCGATGTCCATAGGTATTTGTTAAATGAATGAATAAACAAATGACTGATTATCTTTAATGAATCAAGTTTTGCCAACTAACTTGCCTCTGGTGAAAAGCACTATGTGTCAAAATGTTAAACAAAATAAAGACAAAATGCCAAAGTGTCACATTAAAACAGATCTCTTCATTTGTTCAATTAGAAATATGAACTAGAAAGTGAAACCACGAGGATATGTTGGCATGATTATAGAGCCTTTATCTAGTTCCAGTCATGGTTGAATAGAGAATGTAGATCACAAGCGGGATTTCCAGTTCAAAGAAAAACCTGTTTTTTCTATAGTAAAAAGGTAACTATGGAACTCACCTAGTAGAACTTATTTATGTAATGTATACAGTTAAACTTCCCAAGCCGGCCTACTTCCAATTAGGAAGGGGATCTTCTTACCCCATCTTTCTACTTCATTTTAGATGAACTGGCTTCTTAACTCATACTGATAATTTTTTTCAATTTGTTTACTTACCTATAACTTCTCAAAGAAATGACAACTTCTCACTTAGTAAATGTTTAAAATATAAACAAAAGGATAAAAAATCATAAAAGGTGACTGTAGTTGTCAGTGAACCTCCATTTTGCCACAATTCTGCAAATCTATTAAATGAGAAAATGGGACTAGATAATTTCTCTGATCTCATACCTATTATGCTTCAATTAAACAAAAAAAATTGATTCATTCCACAAATCAATAGGCTGGAGGCATGGTTTTAAGTAGGAAGCTGACAAATAAGGTAGAAGTTTGCTTTCTTTTTTCCTTTTCAGTAGGAAGTAGGACACCGTTACTCAAACAATGTTTTGGAGCTAAGAAAAACTGTACCTGAGTTGGGAGGAAAAACACGGCACTGGAAGTGGTTTTGGCAGTTGCCAGAAGAGTTTCTAATAATTTAACCAAGTGGTTTCAACTTTAGCCAAAACAAATGATTCATCTTTTTCTCTTTGGAAATTGTAATATGTCAACAGTAACACTAGTGTGTGGATGGAAGAAATTTTATACAGATTACAGCATCATTTTCTAGTGAGGAAGACTCATAAGAAAGAAATTAGAGACCGGGCGCGGTGGCTCAAGCCTGTAATCCCAGCACTTTGGGAGGCCGAGGCGGGTGGATCACGAGGTCAACAGATCGAGACCATCCTGGTCAACATGGTGAAACCCCGTCTCTACTAAAAATACAAAAAAAAAATTAGCTGGGCATGGTGGCGCGTGCCTGTAATCCCAGCTACTCAGGAGGCTGAGGCAGAAGAATTGCCTGAACCCAGGAGATGAAGGTTGCGGTGAGCCGAGATTGCGCCATTGCACTCCAGCCTGGGTAACAGGAGCGAAACTCAGTCTCAAAAAAAAAAAAGACAGAAATTAGATAATTTTCAGTCAAATGGTGGCATGGACAATATTATTGTTTTACATAAAAATATATACTCCAAAAGGCATAGCCTACAATGGGAAATCATAATTACTGAATTGAATTCACTCCTGGATAGATGTATCATAGTTAACTTAGTGTTAAGTCCAATATTTCTTAAAATCTGCAACTATAAAAAACATTAACAAAGTAACAAATATTTCTAGAACTGGGATTATGAAATTGGTTGCTATGGATGGAAGGAAAATGCAGGACATAATCCTACATGTGCTAAACAACTTCACATTTAAACAGTAAGTAGTATAAATATTTTAAACTCTTAATTAACTCAAGCTTTCCACTTATCATGAAATATCTAGCTTTTTGATGGTAAATCAAAATATTTTATAATGATTTTATTTTACTTGGATTACAATTAAAATAGCTGCATTTCAAATATATGAACTTGCTGTATAACTAATCGCTTAGCTACTTTATTAAATTGCTTTTCGAGTTCAACCATTTGAGAGATGCTATTTTCTTCAGAATACAGATTCAATGCTGCATTTCCACAGCATTCACTATGCAAACATAACCAGGTAGAAGATAGAATACATGATTTCCCAGAAGTTTCCTGACAGTTCTTCAGGACTTAGCTAAGTTCTTATGTGATAGTTTCAAACTGAGCATAGTTTTCACAGCGTAAACAGAAACTTCTTGAGAAGGCTGGTTTATTGCCGGTTTATGATGAATGGTGCCACATGCAAGGCATACAATAGAACACTACTGTTTTTTCCTAGATTTTCTTCTAGAGGAGCAGCAGAATGGGTCTATTCCTATAATCCCCCCATGTAAACCACATAGAAATGATCCTAGAGTTGAGAGAAAGGAGTCTTTTCTCTAAGAGTTAAAATAAGATCACAGTGTGATGCCATCTTACCCTTATAAGAATGGCCATAATTAAAAAATCCAAAAATAATAGATGCTTGCATGGGTATGGTGAAAAAAAGAACAATTTTCCACTCCTGGTGGGAAGGAAAACAATATGGAGATTCCTTAAAGAAATAAAAGTAGAACTGTCATTCAATCCAGCAATCCCACTACTGGGTATTTATTTACCCACTGGGCTGAGTGGGAGTGTCTAGGGGGTTGCCCTCCCCACAAAGCACAGTTTGCATTTTGGAATGGGGAACTACAGGAACTGCAGGGAACCTCCAGCAAAATTAGTTTTAAAAGGCCCATCCAGGAAACTCACATAAGAGCTGGTCACCCTGTATTTAGAGCCCTCTTAAAGGTGCTAGCCCTTCAGAGAGAAAAAGAGGGCATAAATGATGGTGATGACAGTGTGGAGTCCCACCTACAATCAGCACACTTCTCTCCACCACACTAAACCCTAGGCCATAGCTCAGTTTCTCCTTTTAAGAAAAAACTGTGGGAAATGAATCATCTAAGAATGAGGAAGGGCAAGGAGAAGGACCCCATTTTGGGCACCTCGTTGGTTTTATGGTGCCTCTACTTGCAAGTGTTTGTGTAAAATGGAAAAGGTCTAGGGCATGCCAGCTTCTCTAGTACTCTGGCTGATTGCAAATTATGGTCATTTTGTGCACATTTTAAACTGATGGGCAAATTACATCAAAGAAAAATTCAGAGCCCAGAGGTTGACCTGCAACTCTGGCGCTCCTAAGTTGTCTATTTCTCTATTTTCTTATCTGCCTGCTTGAAATCTGCTGTTATCTTTCTACTGAGATAAAATCCACCATCTGAGTGCAACTTTTAATTTTTGTTATTGTTTTTGTAAACCAGTGAGTTTGTATGACTATCCCATGCCTAGAGCTCTAAAGTAAAAGCTATAGTATCTTTGTCTGTATGGGCATGTATATGTGTATTTCTGTGTACATACACGTATTTTGTTTTGTGCTTTGGCCACAAGGGATCAAATTGACTTAAAGTTAAAGAATTCTCATAAAACTAAATAATAAGCCCATATGCTTTTCAAGTATTTCTGACTTAAGTCTTTAATAAATAAGCTGGCTTTAAAATTATTGGTAAAGTAATGTTAGAAATTTGTTAAGAACTGTCAGCACTTTTGTTTCCAGTTACTGATAAAGTAGTTTCACACTTATCCCTGCCAAATACTACAAATTGTCAAAATTTGCCATAAGGGCTATAAAAGTATAAATCCATCAACTAATCCCACTACTAGGTATTTACTCAGAGGAAAAAAATCACACAAAAAAGATATTTGCACATGCATGTTTATAGCAGCACAATTTGCAATTATAAAAATATGGAACCAGCCCAAATGCCCATCAATCAATATGTACACAATCAATATATGTGTACGTATATATATATATATATACACAAACACACACACAAGTACACATATTTATACACACATCATGTAATACTACTCAGCCATAGGCATTTGCAGCAACCTGGACAGTGTTGGAGACCATTATTCTAAGTGAAGTAACTCAGGAATGGAAAACCAAATATTGTCTATTCTCACTTACAAGTGGGAGCTAAGCTATGAGGATGCAAAGGCATAATAATAATATAATGCACTTTGGATACTCAGAGGAAGGGAGGAAAAGGGAGGAGGAATAAAAAGACTACACATTGAGTACAGTGTACACTACTTGGGTGATGGATGCACCAAAATCTCAGAAATCACCACTAAAGAACTTATCCATGCAACCAAAACTCACCTATCCTCCCCCAAACTATTGAAATTTAAAAAAAAAAAGAAAAGAAAAATGATGATGTGAGAAAACCGGTTCACTCAGTTTTATCCCTAGAATTTCTATATCCTTCTTACTCTATATTCTCTTCTACAGCCGGATTATGTGAGCTAGACCTCCAACAGGGGAAGAAAAATCTGCAAAACAGCTGGCCAAGAGATTCTGAGGTTTTTTTTTTTGATGAAATATGTCTGATTTGTTTTTCAGTTTCCACCCCTGAGCAAGTTGAATAATCCATAAAGACTGGAAATAAAACCAAAGTTCAGGCAGGTTAGCAATGATGCATACTGACCCTGTTGGAACTGTAAGCTAACTGTGCTTATTGTTCTAAAGTTGAGACATACAAATGTGTAATCTCCACTGGCAAGCCCATAATATATGGTTAGGAAATGTTTACTGAACATGCTGAATTAGACCTTGACTCATTCTGTCAACATCTTGTTATTAATATTTGGAGCCCTGAGACATCAGGCCCCAGCTTGTAAGTCACTGAAATTCTTTTGACCACTTGCTTCTCAGAACCTTGAGCTGCAAACTCTGCTTGCCCTACCACCTAAGCGAAGCTTTCTCATCACCAATCCTTGACCCATCTTCTAACCCCTTCTTGTTCTCTATTTCCTCCTTTTTAGTTCATCCTTCAATTCTTCCTAATCTTTCCCTCTGTTCCCTATGGGATCCTCATTACCAAGCAAACAAACTCTCCTATGTCTTCAGTCTCTTTAAACTATGGGTCCACCATCTTTTTGCTGTAATGGAAGATGTGTTTTTCCATAGCATAGTGTTTCCCTTTGTTTTCTTTAGTGACTATTTTATATTTTTGTCAGATTGAAACTAGCAGTGGGAGGTAAGGGAAAGGTGAATTTTCTAGCTCCCATTGTTGCTGGCAAACTGTAACCAATCTTTCCTCATTAAAACACACATGATTTGGAACTCTTGCTATTTGATTCTTCCACCATCTATCCTTCCTTGTTATCATCATTCAGCTCCCAGGCAGTCTCAGCTGATACCTGCTCAGTCCTTTTCCCTACTCAGCTCTTGCTATCACCACAATTCTCTGACAACTTTAATACCAGTGACTATGATTTTATGAGCTTTGTGGCCATCTAGTCTCCAATAACCCATACTCCTACCCTAGACCTTGTCATCTCCAGAAAGAGTCCCCCCACATCAAAAGTTTAAACTTTAATTTTGTACTTTGATCGCAGATGCCTTCTTTTTTAGATATCCTTTCTCTTGATTTCCATTACGCTTTTTTTTAAGACCTCCATGAGATCACAAATCCCCTCAATTTCCCCCCCAAAACTCACACTATTTCAGGCAGAAATCCTGCCCTCCCATGCACCACTTCCTGGTTGGCACCTTGAGTGCCAAGGGTCACATTCCTGAACTGGACAGGCACAGGTTGGTTGACTGAATTTCAGTGAACCAAAACCCAAGTTACTGAAATTCAGTTTGCCAAGTGACCAATTCATAAAAGGACAAATCATTCAAGTTTTTCAAAATTATTTTTGACAGTGTTCTTGTCTCCGTTTCTGAAAAAAATGTTCCTTCATCTTCTTGCTATAGACTGAAAATCTGTGTCCCCACAAAAAAAAACATATGCTGACCTCCTGAACCCCCAGTGTGATGGTATTAGGAGTTGAGGCTTTTGGGAGGTTATTAGGTTATGAAGGCAGAGCCCTCATGAATGAGATTCATGCCCTTAGAAAAAACCCCAGAGACCTCTTTCACCCCTTCCATTATGTGAGGACACAGCAAGAAGACAACTGTCTATGAACCAAGAAGCTGGTCCTCTCCAGATACTGCATCTTCCAGTGCCTTGATCTTGGACTTCTCAGCCCCTGGAATTGTGAGAAATAAATTTATGTTATTTATAAGCCAACTAGTCTACGATATTTGTTATAGCAGCCTGTATGGACTAAGACACTGTCCCTCTCCTTTGTCTCTGCCCAAACTCTGCATTGAGTTAGGAAATTTGCTTCTGTTGAATTGGTAATTTAGTTATTTAGCAAATTGGCTTCACTCAAATGTGCTTTTTGATAGAAATAATATTTTGTTAAATGGTTCTGCTTGCCCAAAGATGACTATCACACTTCTCTCTGGCATTTTGGGCCCTCACTCTTGTCTCCTTGGCTTTCTTAAACCTTGGTCAGCCTCAGTATCCCAGGATGTCTCATGGGGTCAGATGAACCCTCTATGAGGAATTACCCCAAATCTTTCTGCAACAACTGCTCCAATGGTCTCCAGAGCCCTCCCAACTATAGCAGGGCAAGTGGTGTGTCTGTAGTGACCACCACCACAGGCCAATTCTGTTTGCTTCAACCACAGCACTCAGGAAGCCACTGTGATTAGACCACACCATGTTTTCCACAATATAGATCATCTCTTGCTCCAAGGCCTTTGGGTACCCTCTACCCAAACTTTATTCCTGGGAAGAGGAATTCTGAAACAACATATCACATTTAAGAAGATGT